TGTAGGAGTGTCTAACTGGGGTGGCTATGCTGTCGCCTGTGCTCTGTATGTTCTCAATCTCTGCCCAATACACTGGCGGTACCTCCACAGTGGTTTGGGTCTGTCACTGACGCCTGATCAACAGAGCCTGTGGATGGCCTGCCTGCCCACTGTAGCCAAGGTATTATCACAAATAAATGATGGCTGATGATTATGGTGGCTAAGTTCAGTCCTACATTACATTAAAACATCTGTTGCGGCTTAAGGGTGTCTTCTGGAAGAGTTTAAGCACCTCATAATATCACCTCATGCTGTTAACTTTGTGCCCCATTTTATTTTCAGTGGAAATCCACTGGTATAAAACTTGCAGGCGCTTCGCAGTGCTGCTTTCAGTCAACACTGGCCATTTTTATATTTGCGGTGAACTGCAGACCACTTCAGAACCTAGGTTATCATTATCACGGCCACAATGCCTGGAACCAGCCTGTTAACCCTGTATTCCCATTCTTTTCTGTTAGCCTAAATATTTTCTGTGTCCATCATGTTGTTTCTCCTCAGTGGAGGCTTTAATAACACTTTTCCTGTTTTTAAAATTCCCACTCCCACATGTGGCTTAAAATAAAAGACCATTACCACTGAATGCATTACCAAAGATTGAAGACAGAGAATCCAGCTGCAAAGACAAAAACGACTTGATGTGGTGCTTCTATTTGAAAAACAGGAGGAAGAGATGCTCCACATTTTGGTGAAATATGGCGTCCGCAGCGGTAAAACGGCAAACCTAGGACTGGAGGTGGATGGATTGACCTTTCACCCCTACCATTCAGACGTCATACAGCGGCTTAGAAATCTCACCCTTGCCTGACGTCATAGTGTGGCCTACATCACGGACACATCACAGGAACCGAGACGCACATCTGTGACCACAGTCAGAATAGATTTGAGCTTGTTTGTATATTCTCACAGATGAAAATGAATATGGGAATGTAATTGTAGATTGTCATAAAGAATCAACAAAATGTTACAAAGTAGTGTTTAATTTT